TTTTTCCGAGCATCTATATATATATATATATAGGATCCTTGTTGTACTCCTCATCTTCTTCTTTTAATTAACATTATTGGCAAGTAAATTTTCTTTATTTATGTCATATTTTACTCCCAAAGAATTATAAAAATAACATTTTAAGCTGAAAAATGTCATTTTTCCCGCGGGACTTTCTTCACGTTCCAATTCAAAGTTATGCTCCTTGTATTCAAAATATAAACAATTTTAAAAATAATTCGCACATCAATAAAATTCATATTCTCATAAAAGCTTATTTTTTCTTTTTTAATTTGAATTTATGGTGAATGAGAAAAATGTTGTAAATTCACAAGCACATGAATCTAAATTTATATATATATATATATATAAGGGGTAAAATGAGAAAAATGTTTTACAAATACTACTGCCGCCGTCTCAAATTATAAGATACTTTTTAAAAAATTTATATTCCAATATATAACACACTTTGATAGAAATAAGGTTTCATTGATGATATTTTTTTTAATATTGTCAATCTCATATATTTTCTCTTTAATATTTTTTTATAAATGGATTATTAAATGGAGGGAAATTTTGAAAGTTTATATTTTTATCTTAAAAAATAAGTTTGTAAAATGTATTGAATAAGCTTTATTAGTATTTGTGATTTTGTCTAAAAGTATCTTATAATATTTGATTCTTTCAAAATACCATCATTAATCATCAAGAAGATTTTTTTTTGGCTATAAAAGAGAAATAGCATAAGATAGCATTTACAAAGAAATAAAAATTCTTTCATGCGTGCATGACAAAGGAGATGTAAAAAATAGAGAAGAAAAAATTGTAAATTTTTCTTACGTGCATGACAGAGGAGAAGATGTAAAAGAAACAATGCATATAATTACCTATTATCAATAGAGGAGAAGATGATAATCCACTCTACTAATTTTTCACCCACATTTTTTGCGTCAGAGAGCACATGAGAGCAAATTTTTTGCAGCCAAAAACAAGAATAGAGAACATGACATAAGTTATTTTACTGTTATCTTTTAGTGTTTAGCGAGAGGATAATTTTATAAAGTTAGATAATTGAAATTTTAAAATTTTATGATCCTTAATTGGAATTAATGTCCTTAGAGGGTTCTTAATTATCATTTTCCCATTTAAATATACATATTTGTCACATGTGAGCAGATATAACTAGCTTGAATTACCAGCATTCTTTTTAGGTAAAAAAAAATTACCAATGTTCTTCCACTAAATTATAAATAAAATATTAATTTTAATTTTATTTATAGAATATTTTTATTTTCTATATTTAATTTTATTTTTACTCTTATTAAATGTTATGAAAAGTTATTAAAAATAATTTTTTTGTCTTTATTAGAAGGTAGATGTGGAAAATAACTAAATTTTAAAAAGGAGTTAATTAGTATTAAAGTTTTCTTTGATTATAATAAAATGTGCTAAAAATAACTTATAAATAAGACTAAAAAAGTAATTACTTAATTTATGTTTCTAAAAAAATTGATTAAAATTTTGATTATTTAAAATTTTTTCCATCTTTTGAATTGTTGATGGGTGAAATAAATATAATATTTGATCCTTTTAAAATACTGTCATTAATTACTTGAGTGGAATATAATAAGTGTATAATTGAAAATATATATATATATATATATATATAAAACCTATACAATACTCCTATATTTTGGATAATGTGAGACCTTTAGAAAATGCCGTATATTGTAGCGCGGAGGGAACATTTCACAATTTCATATTTAATTTTTTTTCTTTTCTATGATAATAACAGCAGAGAATGGGACCAACGGAGGAAAATGATAATAAAAAAATGGATTTACCACTCTTGAAGTTTGTTATGATTGGAAAGTTCTTAAGCTCGATCGTATTTAATAGAGGCACTTTGAAGTATATCATCATGTTTCCATGAATATATATAATTAAATTGTATCATCCATTCCTTATTCCTGGTTTCATTTTTGTTTAATTTAAAGATTGTCTCCTATGGTAACTGCAAAAGTTTATATAAAGTTGAAAATCATCACGCAGTACTGCTTTTATCCAAAAGAGTTGTAATAGGAACAACATACGATACAATGAAAACTTTAAACTAACATGGCAATATATCACAGAACAATAATATTTGAACACTAGACACTGAACATGACAAATTTTGAAGATATGCAACTCTCAAATACTCTTATTTTTTAAATATAAGGCATTTTTAATAAATTTCATTTCAATAAATTAGTTAACTTTCTTTCAACTAAAAGCATTTTTCTGTATTTACCTTTATTTAATAGGATATTTCACTTAAAAATAAATATTACTCTCTCTAGACCATTGTATAATATATCTTTTAGAAACTTGCTTGGTCCACAATATAGGATATTGAGTAATTTTTATAATTATTTTTTCAACTATATTCCTATTTTATTTATTATTCTTTTTGAAAAAAATGATGTATTAAAATTTTGATTACTGTTATCAAAGCTCTTATATAAGATATTTAATGAGGGTATAATTGAAAAGTTGTAAATTTTTTTAAAAATTAAGATTTCAACTAATATTTTTTAAAAACCGTGAAATACTTACCAATGTCTTATATGTTGATTTGGAGGGAGTAAATGATTTATTTATTAATGACGTTTTAGGAAAAAATACATTAATTATATTTTAAAATACTAAAAATATTTTATATTTTTTAATATTTAATATTTTAAAAAATAATTTACATTTTTAAACGGAAGGAATATATACTATTTATACAAGATAGTACTTGAGGATATATAAAGTATGGTTTGAAGAATGTGACACCTTTTATTTCTTGATTCGGTATTTAATATAAATAAAGTTAACTAATTTTACATTTATTAAAAAATGTTAGTCATAGTTTTAAAATTGTAAAAGAAAAATATGTAGCTTTCGAGTTAAGTATATAAATTGAATTAAGCACTTTAACTTTCAAATCTCACCTTATATTAATAACTACATAATAAATTGTTATGAATTCAAGTGACAATAAATAAATAAAGGATAGAATTGAAAACAAATTAATTACTATATAACTTTCAAATCTCACCTTCTATTAAAAATCAGGGGAATTCACCAAAAAAAAAATCAGAGAAAGTATATAGAATTTAAGGTCTTCAACTAATTAGATGATTAATACTAATGGTCTTGACTAATCTAACACTTTACTTCTTGAAGATTAAAAAAAAATACGGTTTGAAGAATGGTGAGAAATTTTTTTTTTTTTTACCCGGTCGGAAAAGAATGGTGAGAATGAGGATTATGATTTCAGCAGAATATATTTGTTGGACCTTTTGAAGATCTCAATGCATTCAAAAAATAACTTGCTTGATAGGCAATTCTGTCTTATCATTAAGATACATTTTAAAAAGTTTATTTGACTCCCTTTATAAGTAATGATGTAGCTTTTTAAGTAATATTTAAAATATATTTTTAATTTAAAATTATTTTTTATGAGAAAAAAATAATATAATATTATTTTTAAATTTTATTATATAGAGATATATTTAAAATTTTACATATTTTTTTATATTAATATTGATAAAATTGATAAAGATAATTTATAAAGAAAATTGACAAACTAAGTTTTTCTTAAAATAAATAAGAGAGAGAGAGAGAGAATTATATATATTAATAAAATTTATTAAATATATTTTACAATCTTATATTTTTAAGATAAAACTATAAATTTTTAAAAATATCATGCATTAATATTTTATTTGTAAAAAAATATTAAAAAGAAAAAACATATGAAAACGTTATATTAAAAAAATTATTAATAAAACCTTTTTTGTTAAAGTGTGTTATATTTTGGGTTGTCAAATTTATTTTAAAAGTGTCTTATAATTTAAAATAAGTTAATATCTATAAAACATTTTTCCCATTTTACCTCATTGTATATATTAATCTAGATTCTTATATCTTTGAATTTATAACATTTTTCTTACTTATCATAAATTAAAATTAAAAATATATGTTTTTTTATAAGAATACAAATTTTATTGTTATGAAAATTATTGTTGAAAATTGTTTATATTTTGAATAAAAAGAGCATAATTTTAATTGAAGCGTGAAGAAAGTTCCGCAGGAAAAATGATATTTTTAAGCTCAAAATGTTATTTTAATAATTCTTTGGGAGTATATTATAAAATAAATAAACAAAATTTACTTACCTTTTTTATTTGCCGGAAGAAAATTTACTTACCAATAATGTTAATTAAAAGAAGAGGACGAGAATTATAACAGGGATCGGTGTTGGGAAGAAAAAAAGGAACATAGTGCGTTTCGGTCATAAAATATTATTTTTCATGTGGGCGCTGAAGAGCACAGCCTATTGAATGTCCCGGGGGAATAGATCTACATGTGAAGAACATACTTGTTAGCTGAGCAATAAATGTGCAAATAATTAATTTTTATATTTTTAAGTTTGGATTAAAGCTAAAAGAAAGTTCCGCGGGAAAAAAAAATGACATTTTTAAGCTCAGAAATCAAAATTTTATTTTTATAACTCTTTGGGAGTAAAATATAAAATAAATTTAAAAAGCTCAATATCGCAGTTATTAGCCTGTTTTGACCTTTATGTGCATTTTTTAAATTTCAAGCACTGTCATTGTAGACTGATTAAATTTAAAAAGTTAGAAATAATAAAAGAAATTATAGGGACTAAAACTAAAATATAATAAAAAATACATGATTTACTATTATATTTTTTCCTAATAACAATGTGTCGTTTTGATGTGAAGAATATTTCATCAAACTAAAAGTTTTTCCTTCTGTACATTCCCGCTTTCTTCCTGAATATTTTTCTGTAATCGTTTCTGTGGATCTTTATCGTGACAGACAACTCAATAGCAACTAATCTTACTAGAAAATTCATGTTCAATATACTTATAATTATAATTATAACTTCCATCTGGCTTCCTCAGTTAGCTAGTATATATAGCCGGCACGGAGGATTCATTAAAGCATACTGAATACAACAATTTGCAGTCACAATACCAACTTCTCATCATCGTCAAACTCATCTCTAAAGATATATTCTCCGATCACTTGGAACAAGTACGCATCACGTCCTCTTGTTTAATCTTTAAGGCTTTTCTTAATTCTGTACTCTCCTATTGCTTACAATTTTTAGTAAAATTCAGTACCTCAACTATATATTAGCCTGTTTTAATTGGTCTTCTTGTTTTGGTTGTGAAAAGATTTGCGAGATCACAATTTACGAGAAACACAATTTATATATTTCCCGAATCGAGCTTTATCATCAGTCACCTTGTTTGTTTTGCTAATAGATATGGAAGATGATGAGATCATGATAGACATAAATGCAATAATGACAAAGAATAGAGACGAAGATGGCCTCTCCTCGCGTTTGCGGTGTATTTACAGGGTGCCTCCAATGATTCGTCATCTAAAAAGGCAAGCTTACACTCCACAGGTTGTTTCCATCGGTCCCTTCCACCATGGTGACAAGAGGTTGAAAGACATGGAGAGGCACAAAGAAATAGTGTTCAAAAGATTTGTAGAAAAATCAGCTATGGTAGACTTGGACACTTTGGTCAACTTTGCAAAACAGTCTGAGCTCAAGGTTCGTGCTTCGTATTCAGAGAACATCAATCTTAGCAAGAAAGATCTTGTTAAATTGATATTAGTGGATGCTGCTTTCATCATTGAGCTCTTTCGGATGTCCTATGAACGTGTTCCTGAGATATTCAAAGATGCTAAACTATCACAATTAAAGTTGAGGGAAGCTGTATATCTTGATTTGCTTTTACTTGAGAATCAACTTCCCTTCTTTTTTCTTGAAGAGCTATTCAATATAGCATTTCCGATTGATCTTAGTGTTGACTGTCGTTCATTTCTTGAGCTTACATATTCCTACTTTTGCAGTGGTAACATTCAAAGTTTAGAGCCTCATTCCAATATCAGGATAAAGCACTTCACAGATCTTCTTAGATTATTTTACTTACCGGAAAGAAAATCGATAAGGCATGGGTTCAAAGGGGATAGATCTGATTTTCCTTCATACAGCGCAAACGAGTTACAAGAAGCAGGAGTAAAGTTGAAGAAAAGTACAAGCAAGTGTTTACTAAACTTGAAATTTTCAAGACCTGTTCTAGAGATTCCTCAAATTCATGTCGACGACGCCACTGAAACTTTGTTTCGTAATATGATAGCTTTAGAACAATGTCATTATCCTTATGAATCTTACTTTGTGGACTATATTTTTGCATTGGATTGCCTAGTCAATACAAATAAAGATGTGGAGGTCCTCACTCATAAGAAGATTATTGAAAACTGGCTGGGTGATGCGGATGAGGTTGCTGCATTATTTAATGGTCTTGGAAAAAATATAGGCAGCAGCGATTTCAGTGTTGAATACCTTGACACTTGGAGAAGGTTGAATAAGTTCTATCAAGATCCTTGTCACAAGAGATTGGCAACTTTGAGAAGAGATTACTGCAACACACCTTGGCGAACAGTGGCTTCAATTGCTGGAATCATACTTCTCATTCTCACCATTATTCAAACCATATTTTCTATCCTCCAAGTAGTATAGAAGCATAGCTAGCTAGATTTGAAGCTTGTAGAATTAATTTAATGTTCTGTACTGGGAATTTTTGTTCCCGTATTCAGCGTTTCTACAGCACCATGTGTAACCATATAAATAATAATCGCAATCCTCATGCTTCGTTTTCTTTACGCAGCTGTCTATACATTCCTTGCCCAGCTAATAGGTTCCACACCGGTGGCATTTCATTCAACGTGGACCGAAGTCTTCGTCAAGTGACACATTCACTTGTCCAAAAATCGCATAACTTCAGAAATTATTGAAATTTTCCACTAATCCTGTGAATTTTACAAATCACTTTTACGCAATATTTTTTTATAAAAATAATGTATCGAAATTTTAATTATCATTATTAAAATATTTATACAGGATATTTAATGAGAATATAATTAAAAAAATCTAAAAAAATTTAAGAGATTAAGGTTTTAATTAACTTTTTTTAGTACTCTCTGCGTCTCAATTTATAAAATGCCTTTGGAGGAAATTTGATGTCCTAGAATATGACATATTTTGATAAAAATAAAATTTTATTAATAATATTTTTTTAACATTATCCTTTTCATTATATTTTTTTCTATTTAATATTTTATCTAAAAGTGTGTTATAAATTAACATGAAAGGAGTATAATATAATGTAGAGAGAGAATTGAAGGAAGCTAAGCCTATGTGTTGCTGTTCCCAGTGAGTAGAGGATAAATCTGCAGTGAGGTGGAAGTAGCTGCAGTTCTATCATTTGTTTTTGAATCATGTCATCTGCCATCACCCAATGAATCTCATTGGCGTATATGAATCTTATGTTTTTGATCCCTTCATAGCCTCGGTGTCGTGTGTATGTAAAAAGCCAAAAATATAAGAAAAAATTACATATAAATCCTGTAAAAGTTAACTTATTTATGAATAAGTTTCATAAAATTTAAAAACCACAACTTCATCCCTTAAAACCTGAGTGCAATTTGAAATTTGATTAAAAAGATAGTAATGTCTACATCAATCAAATAATTTATAATTATTTCACTAGTAATTTATAAATATAACTTTAACTTTTTACAACTATAATTTCATGTATTCAATAATTAAATTGATCAATTTACAACTATAACTTTAACTTTTTACTAACTATAACCATTGAATATGTGAAGTTACAATTATAAAAAGTTAAAGTTATAGTTATAAATTACTGATGAAGTAGTTGTAAATAATTAATGTTAAACTTTACTAGTAACACATGATTATTTAATTATTGGATATATGAAATTACAGTTGTAAAAAGTTAAAATTGTAGTTATAAATTGCTGATAAAATAGTTGTAAATTAATTATTTGATTAATGTAATATATATTTAATAGGGGTATTATTATTTTTGTAGCTTAATTTTAAATTACACTTAGGTCTCAAAAGATCTGGATGTGGTTTCCAAATTTTATGAGACTTACTTGTGAATAAGTTTGTTCTATAGGACTTAAATGTAATTTTTTCAAAATATAATATCTTGAAATAATATTCATTGAATGACTTTATTGTCAAGAAGACGTAGTATATTTCATTTAATGAATTATTTATTAAGGTATATATTAATGGACGGTTTCTTTATTCTAAAAAAATATTTAATTGTGAGAAAAAAGTTAAACAATTTTTTATTATTTATTAAGGGAGAATAACAATTAAATCTATCTAAAAAAATTAAATCAATATTTACAGTTAAATGCTTGACAATTTTTCTTAAAAAATCTTTAAGTATCTATTTAAAAAGTTATAAATAAAATTCTCAATTACAATAGAATTATATTTAAAATTTAAGTGTTTTTTTAACAATAAACTAAATCATTTGTATCCTTTTACAATTATAGACGGAATATTTAATCAGAGGAAAGGTAATACTATCAACTATTATTATGTTTGGATGAGTGGTGATTTAAATTTGGATTAAATATATTATTTGAATACATGGATCTTGATTTAATCGAAATCCAAGTAAACTAATTTACTATTCCTTTAAAATTTTAAATACACGATATACCTTAATTATTTTAAATTTTAATCTTACTCTTTGTCATTTTACCGTTTCAATCATTTTTAAAGGATTAAAAGTTCCATTATCTTAATTATAAATAGTAACTCATTCTACCTTTTATAAGTTATACTGTTTATATATATTAAGGATAAAAAACTTTAACTACTCTAACTTTGTCTTGTATTAAAGATACAAAAAAAACCTTTCAAATTTCACCTTATATTTTGGTAAAAAAATTCATCTTATATTGAGTGAAATTAAAATATAGTCATCTTAGGACTTGTTATATTGTATGTAAAATTAAACTTCTTCTGTTTAACAATATAAGGCATTTTTGAGTAGTTGAATATAAAAAAATATAAAGCAGTTTTAGTGTTTTAAAATGTAATCATTGTATTTTTTTTAAAATACCCCTAATAAATAAATTACTTAATTTTTATTTTATAGCAAAGTAGCCTATTAAATAGGATTAAATATGAAAAAAGTAACTACTTTATTGAAAGTAAGATTCGATTAAAAATACTTTATATTTTTAAATGGAGATAATAATAAATTATTTAGGTGAGTTAGATCTTAAAAATTTATATACCAAGATTAAGACATAACATTTACAGAGATGCTGCTGCAACTCCTTCTACTATTAGTAGTAGTACCATTGAGAGTGAAGGACCTTATGATATATTGAAAAAAAAAAGATTTTGTATAAAATATTGACGACGAATGACCTTTATTCACTTTTTGTTATATTAGCAAGGGCATTTATGTCATTCAGCACTCAATAATTATTGACAGCGAATGACTTTCTCTTGACACATGTTCCAAGTCCTTATGGGTGAATAAATTTGGGGTGAAGTTTTTTTTTGGCAATTTTCCCTTTTTAATCAAAATTTCTAAATATAATATTAATTAAAATAATATCAAAATCACTTTTAAAAAGAAAAACTTAGAAGAATGATATTTTAATCACATTTACAAATATCCTAATTAATCGTATTGTAAAGGAATTAGATTAAAAAAAATTATTAAAATATATTAATTTTTCCTGAATCTAATCTAATAAAGTAGTGATAATAGTTTATGATTTTAATAATATAAACCCATTTCAACAACTTTTCTTAATCTTTATGAAGTTAATTAAAAGTGTTTTATATTTTCAATTTGAAAAAAATATCATATTTTATTTACAATTACATACCATCTATCCAATAAGATATTTTGGTTCCATTAAGTCATTAAGGTTTTGACTAATTTGTAGTGAAAGCATTTGTTTCAAATGATATTAATAAAAACATATATTTTGATGAAATGCTATTTAAAAAAAATTAACCCCTAAGACGTTACCAAATCGCTTTTCACTCTTCTATCACTTCAAGTGATTTTGTCCAACATCTTAAACAAAAAAAAATATTATCTAACTAATTTATTTTATGGGTTAAAGTGTATTTTTATCCTTAAATTATTCTTTGACGTGCACCCAATATTTTAAACTATTTGTCATATCAATTCAACGTGTACCCACCGTTGATCCTTTGGTATGATATTTGTTTAATTAGTTAAGTTTGAATAGTGGCAAAGGTCATTATAAATTTGATATTAGTTTCTTGAGATTCGAGAATTGGTGCTAGTGTGTTTGTCCTTCTGTTTGTGCATTAAACATTTAGCATATTGAAATTTTGGCAATACGTATTCTTTACACATGTCTTTCCTTTTTGCCTGTTTAGTAGTTGTAATCCGATTTGTAACTTTCATACATACTATTGGTGAGTTGCTGTCATCATCCCAACGGAGTACTGACAATTCCCTGAACCGTCTAAGGGATGAGGTGATGAACCTCTGGGAAAAAGTTTGCGAACATGAAAATTAAATTGCGATGTTGAAGCGTCCGAGAACTACAAAAAAACCAAAATTGACTCATCTATTGGTCAGGATAGTGAGGAGCCTTCCAGAGATTTTGAATCCAAGGAAAAGGAATGCTCAGCAAATGAAATTGAGCAGGTAGGTTTGCAACAACACTTAAAATGGTTTTAATCCCCTCCATCCACTTCATTATTATCCTGTACCTCCATGGGCTTACCAATGGAGCCAATGTTGGACTTCGATGATATTTAGATCCAGTCCTGCTTATATGGGCTTCGCAACCATGATGTCAGTCCCAGGTTTCACTGCACCAACAATAGAATTATCAGCAGCGCCATTTGTTGGTCCTACATTTAGTGGCATCCCATCACCTTCCTCTTCCAGTAACAACAGTGTTTGTTCTGGGACTAAGTCTCCAACCTTAGGAAAACATTCCAGAGATGCAAGTACTCAGGCAGGTGATGCAAAGAGACAGAATCTTTGGGTACCTATGACTTTGAGAATTAATGTTCCAGGAGAAGCTGCTAGGAGTTCTATATGGTCTGCGTTCAGTACAAAGATTGAACAGAACAAACCCATTATCATTTTGTCAGAGATAGTTATGTGATCTCTGGTTGGTAAGAATATTCGATTATGTGACAACCATTACTTTGAGGTAAATTGATACCTTTCATGTTTAAACCTCAAGGACCACGTCATAAAAGAGCCATCACAGTCAATTTCTATTGCATGCCATAGCGATTGTGTTAAAGTTTTGACCTTCAAACTCCATAATAGTTGCAATTAAGATAATTTTTCTTTTCCACTTAATTTTTTAGCTGCTTCTGTCATCTAGTAGCCCTATGCACAATTTTTGAGAATTTTCTGGATGTCTTTTATTGCTTCTTTCTCTTTTTCTCCTTTATGCAGTCCTTTATTGTATCTTGAAAATCTATATGCTCAGAAAAGCTTCTTTCTTATATTCTGAGGCAACCAAAACTATGCTATTTAAGACAGTCTGTACTACAACATGGTGAAGCCTTTCTTGCTTCAAGACATAAGGTGTCTTACAACACTGCATACATTGTAAATTGCTAGGAGGATTGTTACTCTTTCTTATTTGACTTCTATTTTTATAGAGCATCTTTTATTTGTTTCTCGTCCTTCTTATTGTACAATATTTGATAAACTTTTCTGTGTATCTTCATTATATGCATGTTTTCCTTGATTGCTATGGCTTATCAATGTTGATATAACTTTCCTTTCTTGTTTATTTAGTTATTT